TGATCCTCTTTTTCTTCTGGAATTGTTGTATCTGTGGAGCTTTCCTGCATGCATGCATTAATCATTATTTACGCCGAAAAACCTTTAATTATTTACATTGCTAGATGTTTCTTCAGACTATTTCTCTAAATGTTATCACAGGCTGCTTGTGCTTCTCCTGCGCACCATCAATATCAGCCGGTCGGGTTTATCAGAGTTTTAACACACACACACACACACACACACACACACACACACACACACACACACACACACACACACACACACACACACACACACACACACACACACACACACACACACACACACACACACACACACACACACACACACACACACACACACACACACACACACACACACACACACACACACACACACACATACACACACACACACACAGCATGTGTATCCTCTCTCAGCTACCGGCTTCCTTGATGGGGATAGAGGGGACTCGATGGACGGGAAGAGAGGAGACAGTGGGGATGTGGCCACAACAATGGCAGGAAGTGACTTCAGATCAATTTAAGATTAGAGCAAACACACCAACACAGAAGCACTGAGCTAACAAACATCCCCGTTGAAGAGATAATCATGCGACACAAACACAGTGCCAAATAAATGTCCCTTCAACCCTTTAAGACTGCACTGATAATGAATTATGAGGATATTTCTCCTTTTTTTACCAACAAATATATTTATCATAATAATAATTCTGTAATGCTGTTCTCTGTCTAATAAAAAAAATGTAATAATGATAAAACTGCATCAGAAATACACTGGATAAATACCCTTAATTACTGTAATCACATGTTAAATCATGAATGGTTTAACCACTAAGAAAAGCCGCTGTAGTTAGTTTTGAAAAGCTATAAAGCATTGCTCTGTATTTCAAATGTGCTGATTGATAATACACACTGAGCTTCACCAACAACAAACAAGCCTGGTTATGTATCCCTGCCAACTCAAAGTGAATTACGATGCTGCAGATACAAATAAAAACCATGCACATTAAAGTTGAAGACAAGTCAAGAAACTTCCAAAATAAAAACAAGTAGCTTGCAGGAAGTTGAAAGAGTCAACATTGGAGTGTGTGCAGCTGGCTATTCAACAGTTCAGAGGTCACAACAAGGTCCCTGAAACAGAAAACCTGAGAGGTCTGGGGTTGTATAATGTGTAATCAGGAGCATGCACAACTTCAAACAAACAGAAATCGAGTGGAGAGAAGCGGGAAGATTATCTGTATTCTGGATCAGTTGCAAACAGTAATAAAACCGACAGTTTTGTGGTAATCCATGTTTGAAAGTTAAATAAAAAGGATGACTGAGTGTAGGATTTAAAACAGCAGTAAACAAAAGCTCTCTTTTAACCCACTAAGCACTGCATATCATTCACTGTGCAGCTCCGGCAAAGGACCATTTACATTTTAAGGCAATTAAAAGGAACTTGCATTGTGTGTTAATTTTGGTGGTTTGTCCGCAAAGTCATAAATTAAAAACACACATTGAATATCAGTCCAGACGAAAGAGGGATGATTCAGGTTCACTTCAAAATGCTTTGAAATCCAGCAAATCCCTCTATCTGTTGAAGGGATGACCAGACCGATCCTGTGATTGCCTGTCACTATCCCTTAAAGATTTGTATCTTTCTAAGTTAGGGGTTTTTAAATCTACTCTTAAGACACACTTCTTCTCCCTGGCCTTCTAGTCAGAGCGGAGCACGACTCCTGACTTTTCCCTGTGTTTTTTATATATCTGTTGTAATTTGTCTTTTATTGTGATTGTAGTAATGTGTTTTTATTACATGTACAGCACTTTGGCTCGACCAAAAAAATCGCTTTTAAATGTGCTTTATAAATAAAACTTGATTTGATAAATAAACTTGAAGTTCAAAACTTTGCCTGTAAAAATAAGAACATAAGCTCTTGCTGTCACTTCATCTGATTTAACGTCTTCTTAGCTTTAAAAGGCTTACATTTCAGTTGGAGAAAAAATGACCTTAATATCTGACTTGAGTATTGCTATACATCCTTTTTTAGCCGAAAATGACCCTTTCAGGGACCTTAGAACGGAACAGTAATTTGGATATGGATATGAAGTTACTTTGCAGAAGCTATAAATCAGTCTTATGTTGATTCATGATTCTGCTTGGACTGTAAGGGAGACCCGGGAGATCCCCGGCTCGTACCAAACAGGTGTGCGTTATCATTTCCTATTACGAATCATAACCTTGTGTCAAAACCCTGATGGATTTGAGATGGTTACAGCTTCATGTCCAGCTACTGTTATCCCAGAGGAGAACCATAAAAGGACACTCACACATCCTGTCCACTGTCCATTGAATGAGCATCTGTCCGACCCACAACACCTTCCACTATGACTCTACTTCCTGTCCCACAGGTGCAGCTCCGCTACTTCAAACTTTTCATCAAAGCGCTTCCTCCTGAACATGGAAAAGTCTCAAATAAGAGCGACCATGAGCTATCCGTCCCACATTTACATGGTAACTGGCTGATGGTTTTGTCTTATTTACCTAAAGACACATTCAATTATTGTAAAATATTGCATTAGACAACATCATGCATAAAACAAAGCTGCAGAGAATGCATGGCAGCTGCAATCCTATTTAACAAACCAAACCATTATCAAGAGGTTGCGTTTTTTGGTTTTGTGGCCGTGACCTCTACCCCTTCTAATCCCTTCTTTAGGCAGAGGGCATGATGGGGGATGGCAGAATGGGGATAAAGGTGCAGAACCTCGGTCCCTGTTACCAAAAAGCTTTAGAGGAGATTTTCTGCTTGTGAAGCCAGACTTTAATCTCCCAGACGCTTCACACATATGTTCTCATGAGATAATCCACCTAACTATACTCACCCACCCCCCATAAACAGCTACAGTATATAAACAGACATCACATGGGTGGGGTGTCTGTTTACTCTCACGTTCAGTGTAGCTTTAGATATAGTTGTCCTATCTAAAAATACTGTAGATGTGCAGTCACAACGTCTTTTAACCTAAACAAATCTGACTTGAGTGGAGATTAAGTCTTAACTTCATATAATGTTAAAGTATGAGTTTTATGATCCACTATAAAAGATACTGGATATTTACTGGGAGTTTGGCTTGGTATCATTAAACTGAGTCAGTGTTCATAGTACAGAAGATACCAAGATGGATCCAGTTTTGTTGATCACATTGTGTGTCCGCATACTTTAGGTTGCATTCTCCAAACAAGATACACTTTTAAATTGCCACATAGGGAAATTCAATTGCTTTCCTCATGGGCAATCATTGTATTTAGTCTGCACTACTGACCCTTGCAAACATGGGCAGAGGGCAACATTTTGCGGCAAAAAGGAAAAGTCTTATTTGAACTACTATTCTGTCCACACTGCCCTCTCTTCTTATGTCCTCAAGGAAGCAAGAAGGAGTCCCACAAGAGTATTTTATGAGAAAAATCGACATCTTTGGTCATTGCAATGAGACCACTGTGTTGCAACAGCTTGAATCCTAGTAAAAAACCCACCAACCTAGGGTCAACTGGCAAAACACTTGAACCTGGATGTTGTGTTTAATCAATAGAGGACAAACTACATTTGGGGAAGGTTTATGATTACCGATAGCCCAGAGGCCGCTTTGGCAGGTCCATTTCATCCAGCAACACCACCCAACAACAGACTGCACAGGCCAAGCAACTATTAGCCCTTTCCTGGTATATTACTTTGTAATGTGAACCTTGCAATCATTGAGATGGAGGATAAAAAGTTTGCAGCCGTGACCATTTTCCAGAGCTGTGAAATCCTGTCACTGTGTCTGATGAGTCTTAAAGCTCATGGATGTGTGTATCATTCAAACTGGACTTCCTGGATCATATTTCCTCTTCTCAACACTAGTTGAAGCAACACACCCCACCTAGTGTTTTTTTCCCTTTAAACACAGACCCATTTTCAGGCCAAACGTTGCTTGTCAAGCAACATGGACTGAGAGAAATGGCTGCTCCAAATCGGGAAAAAAAGAGGGAAAGGCAGCTGAACATGAGTGTACTTATTTCCTGAGTCTTGTGAGAGAGTCTACCATGATGCTCTTGGTACAAGTACACAACAACTAGCTACAAATACTGCTCTTTTCTGAGTGTATGATTATAGGGGCAAGTCTGGGTCACGTCTTTTCTGCAGACTATAGCCATAAAGCTGTTCTCCCATTACATCCTCTCTGTCGGAGGCTCAGCACAGCGAGACAGGTGGGGCTAGGGAGAGTCCACTGGGGCGAGGTTGGGTTGAGGTGAAGGGTGGAGTTGGGGTGAGAAGCCAGCATTGTTTACACATAGCTAAAGGCACAAGAGAGACGATTAGAGTAGACCGAATTACAAAAAAATGCATTAATGACAGGCGTCCTCAGACAAGTGACACACAACATCCTTCCCAGAAATAGAAAAGGCCGCTGTGACGAAGACTCAGAAATGTGGCATTAAGGAAGATGACAAATCTCTATACAAATACGACATTGTTGCCAAGTAGAAAAAGAAGAAACAAAGAAGCACAATCAGAGTCAGAAGAACCACACAAGAAGAAGGAGAGGAACAAGGAGAAACAGAAAAAGAAGAAAAACCATAAAAGAAGAAGAAGAAGGAGAGGAACAAGAAGAAGCAGAAGAAGAAGAAGAGGAAAAAGGCCTGTGAAGACTCCATTCAGAGACTAAAGGCAAATGGCAGGGTGAGGCGCTTTAGACGTTGCTGTGGGAATTTGCTCTATTTGAGATGCAAATTCCTCAAAGAGCTGAAAGAGCCGGAGAAACAGGTGTCCAAGGAAGTGTGCTGCTGCGTGGGTGAGGGAGGGAGGGCGGGGGGGGGGGGGGGTGTGAGGGCGCTGAATGATAACACAGGCGGCATTGAAGGCCTGCTTGTTCAGTCCAGTCTGTGTGGCACTTCTTTGCCTGTCTCTTTTTCTTTGTCAAAAAAAAAGGGATTTCATGTCAGAACAAAAATGGAAAACATGACAGATCTGACGTTTTCTTTCTGTATTGATTTAATGAAGTAATTTGCTATAAAACAGCTCGTAGATATGAGAAGTTGATTTCAATTTAAAAACAGATCAGAAATAAGTTCCTATAGAATGACAGCAAGATAAGTTACACATTTACTTTTCTTAAATCATAATAGTTGCAATGATTAGTAATAAGAAGCTTCTCGACATTAAAAAATATATTTTTGTTGAATATTATACAGGTATCCAAACCACATCCTGTATATCCTTCATTTACATCCCAGGTTGAAGCTCGGTGGCGCCATCTACAGGACAGCTGGTTACATGTGATTTGTATTTTTTATTTTGATTAAACCTTTTAAAAATATAAATATAAAAAGGCTTCACAGAACATGGTTGTTAAACAATGCATACTATTAGACAGAGAATGAACCCGTAGAATATACTTTCAAAAAACACATTTAAAATCAACATACCCACAACCAAATTTCCAGTATAAAACTCTTGACAGCATATAGTTTGATGTACATGTACACAGCTGCTAATACATTCTTTTCCTAGACTGGGAGTTTATAAATTCATTAAGAATCATTTCAAGCAATTTCTTCATTGTCACAGCTCAGATCAAATGAGCTCAATAGTAATCAAAGGTGACTCCCTTGACTTTTAATATCATCCATTATCATCAAATATTTTCTATGGTTTATTTGAATATGTACACAAAATCCTGGAGGGTCATACTTCTTAAAAACCAAAGAGAACTAGTCTTTCAACTTTTTTCGTTTGTTAAATCATGCCATTAAAAAATAACAGCTAAAGACTATAATGGCTTCATTATTATTTTTCGTAATTCTTTTCATTCAATTACGTTTTGAACAGTTTTATCAGAAAGATAACACCATTATTGAACCGGAGATTGGATTCAGACGTTAGAAAGATTTTTTTAAATCTCCTTCTGCCTTTTTTTTTCTTTAAATCCACATCCAATATATTTAAGTCTAAAGGCCCACAACCTTCAAGCATGATTGTAAAAACAACAGCTCTGTATTATCGTTTTTTAACATGGCATTTCACCAGATCTCTTTCATAACTAAACAAAAACACAAACCTCTCCCTAATACTGAATCACAATATGATTGGATAAACTGCTTCAACAACATATATTTAAAAAAATCAGCATTACAAATCTTTGGCTTAGTGGCACTAATTGTCCCTGCACACTTCTTCCTTCATTGTGTCAGTTTTTGCTCTCACTCAGAGACCTGTGATGGTCACTGCTGTGAGGACGCCCTCCAGTGTTCAACATCAGCAAAGACTCCTGGATGCTGCACTGACAGTCAAATGTGCGTATTCGTGCACGTCTAGCAAAGCAGGGTAAATAGGAATCTCTGCGTTGGCAACGTAGTGACTAATGTAGGCAAAGAGGAAGGCCATAAAGACAAAGTGCTGTAGAAAAGACCTCATCAATAAAGACAAAATCAGACTTCATTTATAACAAAGGACAGAATCTAAGAGGTAAAATTAGGGAGGTAAGTAGCAGCAGCAGCTGTTAACAGTGAGTTAGCGAGTGTACTGTGAACCCCATATGTTCGGTCATATGAATAGATTGCAGCAGGAATTAATCCTAATACCCGGAAATTAGTCAGCATTTTTACATTTCCAGTTCCCTTGTTTTAGTCGATGGGTTTTTAAAAGTTTTTTAAGATGCATGATATAAGGTCTGTAGCTAAGACCAGTTAGCATTGGGGACATTAAATACTAACACTCCAAAGGCAGAGACTCATCTGCTTAAACCGTGGTGGAGTTTGTTACTTTTAGAGATTGCATTTATATTTAAAAGTCATAGTTGTGTTCATTTTCCTTAGTGAACAAAAGTATCTTACACTTTTGTTTCTGCAATAATCCAAACTCAAATGGACAAATCCCATTGGCTTTGCAGAGTGAACCAGAGCGATACTAACAAGCAGGTTAGCTTTCAAAAACAAATCTCTATTTGCTCAATGTCCCTCACAGCACAGAGTTGTCATCCACTGTTTCCGCAATTACACATTTACGAGTTCAATTTAGTTATAAGTAAGGTAAATAGAAACATGTATAAATGACATGACAGCGAAACGGTGTTGACTTTTAAAGCTCAGTTAAGTTTGCACACGTGCGGTCGCACAGACATGAGCTTATGGACAATTGTGACAAGGACAAAATGTATGTTGTATACTTTGTGCAACGTTATCCTCGCGCCAAACCAAAATCTCCTCAAAGTTCTCAATTTGTTTCACCTTTCTGTGTAGTTAAAAAATGTGTTATTGCCGTGCAGACAATACCTTGCCGTCAATAATTTAAGTGACTGCTAGTCTGAGCAATGGCGTTTTTCACAAACCTTGAAAATATAATTATTTTTTCTTGATTGTAAAAATATCCATTTGAATAAAACCTGTCATAGTAAGTCATGAAAGGTTTTGTCATGTCACTGTGACTCAAGAACGTTTACTTAAAACTGTAAAGGCTGTTGTGAATGGTGATGTTAGTAAACTGGGACACTTACCCCGCTACAGGTAAGTGTCATGCTCGGCGCTGCTCAGACTCTCTTTGGACCCTTGTACAATCATGTGTTTGAGGAGAGGGGAGGGGTCACTGGGAGAAAGGTAAGGATTAACCGTCTCCACTGGGGGAAGCGTGGTTTTCTTCTGTTTCCCCTTGTTAGTCTTTGCACTCTCCTTGGCGTCCTGTTCTCTCTCTCCGTCTGTCTGCGTTGCCAGGGGCGAATGCACGATGATGGTGGGCCTTTGTTTCAGGTCCTGGCGGCTGGGCGGCTCTGCCGTAATGATAGCTTTAGCGCCATGCATCCTGGGAGGGGACTTGCAGTGTAGATCTCCATGAGTCTCCTTCCAGCGGCGCAGCTGAGCAAAGTGTTCCTTCTCTATGTCTTTCTCTGACACCCCTAACTCAATTATCTGAAACACAAGGAGAGAGTTTTTTTTATGGTTTAAGTATTTCAGCACATTACATACAGGTATTTGTATATCAATGTTACAACAACCACAGGAGGGCAAAGTCAAAGGGTCAAAACAATAAATTGGATAACAGACAATAACCATGACAGAGTAAACTGTACCTCTTGCACCAGGAAGCCTTCTCGTAGGTACTGTGGCTGTATGGCTCGGAGCAGCTCCATTGTTTCATACAGACCCTGAGAGGCCTTCAGTTTCTCCTGGGATCCCAACGTGCATTTCAGGAGAACCAGGCCTACCCGAAAGAGGATCTTTACTCCTGAGAACACATCAGACACAAAGTAAAGTTTCATTACTATAGCTTAATATCACAAATTTGCCTCAAAGGGCCTTAAAATCTATATAGCATTTGACTCCCCTTTCAACAGGGAAGAAGTGGAAGGGACCAAAGAAAGAGAAACTGAAGAGGTATCACTCTCCCTAGATGGATAGACATGCAACAGCATAACCAACATAATGTAAAATTATACAGATGATTAATAGTCACATGCACAGGGCCTGGAAACATTCATTATCTTCAAAAGCTCAGGAAGGGTAACCTGTGATGTTGTGGAAAATGTTTTTCATGCATAATAAAATGCCAGTGAAAATAAAGTGTAGTGTCTCACCCTCACAAAGGAACATGTCCCAGACCCGCAGCACAGAGGCCCAGGGCAGAGTCCGAGAGAAGGCGCACATGAACCACTCGGTCATGTACAGGACGGGCTCCAGCTTGTGCTTCTTCAGGTGACGGTGGGCCACCGGGGACACTCGCCGCAGCAGAGCGTACAGGATCTCCCCGTCCAGCTGGATCGCCTCCTGTGGAGAAAACAGGGAACAGCAGTCAGTGGAGGGGAGCTTTTTCTTTGGTTATGATTATATCGTCCTAGTAGCCTTGTCAACATCTCGTGTAGTTAGGTCATTAGCGTATTAGTGTCAAACTGGAGATACACTGGCCAGAGAACTATAACACGACCAGCAGCCACACATTGCATGCATTAATAGAAGATACTTTTTAAGGAAGTAGCTCAACTTTTGTTTTACTTCAGGTTAACTCATAAAATAATATAGAGTTCTTATAGTCTTGCGATGCAACAATATGCAAGAATATTTTCCACTTAATAATAATTATCTTGAGTTTGATAACTTGACCCGAGCCTAAATAATGAGACATCTCCTGGGCAGTATAATTTAAGAAAAATTATAAAAAATGCAAGGATTCAGGCCTATAATGTGGCATAACGGCAGACTTCAGAAAACAAGTGTTCGTGGGCATCAAATTATGTAAGTGTATTTTTGCTTGCACTAGGCAAAGGACTCATTTAAGCTATATTTACAGGGTTCAGATAGATAATAATTTACATGCTTAACAGTGTTAATATGTAATCCTGTTACAGGTTGCACTCCTATCTTCTCAAGCTCTTCTTAAGATTTAAAGTCCTCTTTACAAAATGATGTGTCAGTAATTCTGTGTGGACTCTTACCAGCCCTGAGCTGTAGTATCCAGGAAGGTATTTCTCACAAATCTGAACAAGAACCCAGAATGCATCCTAGGACAAAGAAAAAAGAAACAAGGGTAAAAAGATATACTATTCATATTCAAGTGAAGCCCTTTTCAAGATACATTTTTTTTAAACTATACATAGAATGAGTGTTAATGTGGTCATTCTTTAAAAGATCTTTACCCCCTTATTCAATTTATCAGAACACGCCCCAAACAGCCTTAGGGAGGTGAGTACCCAGTATTACAAATATATTATCTTATGATATCAGAGAAAATGTTTTTGATTATGTAGTGTGTGTTTACCTCAGCTGGCATATGCATCAGGAGAACAGCAGCGATTGGAGCCTGAGCCTGACAATAACCCTCTTCAGGCCGATGCAGAGTGTAAGCCTTCAACACACGGAACAAGTCTTGCTGCCTGAATGTATACAAATATATAAAATACATTAATAAAATATGTACAGCTTCAATAACACAACATTCAAATTATGAGAGGCTTTTATATATAAAGGCAGCACTTACCCATGACCCCCTCTGGCTTCAAACATTTCATGGAAGGGGAACTGCCGATGGAGGTCCCTCTCAATAATATCTACCCATTTAGGATCTCCTGGCTGACTGTCCAGTTCCTAAAAAACATTATCAGTGTCTCAGCTTTTGCAACATCATCAACCACCTTTTTATAGCAATATTATAAAATAGGCAATTCTTGATCTAAATGTCATAGTAAAGTTATAAGCATTCAGAGAGTCTCAAGTATACATATCATGAAAACATTTTTCATTTTGCAGCGATTTTCAACAAAACAGTCAAATTTTTTACGGCGGTGGTCAGTCAACAAATACTCGACTTACCTGGAATTTTCTTTGGTTTTGTTCCCTTTTAACCTTGCCCCCGGTGAGATATAGCCAGGCCCGGCCACGCAGGGACGGAGGGATCCCCTTCTGACAGCGCTCTTTCACCTGTAATGCAACATACTCACAGTTACTCAAAGCCTGCAGAAAGCAAGATAAAAGAAGGGCAGAAGAAAGGGACACAGACATTGGAAAACACTCCTGTATATACTGCAGCATACAAAATGCCACTTGCTACGAAATGACGTGCAGGCAATCACCAAACTTTAAAAAACAGGCATGCTGTAGAAATGAATACAAGTTTTCTAGCTCAGCCACTGCATATTGAACGTACGCCTGCAAAGTGACATTTTTTATTACAAAGAAAGAAACATGTGAAGTCAGATAATGTACAGTTTATAAAACAGACCTTCTTGTGTTTTTTGGCCATCCACTTGTCCCAGCTGTTGAGCATTTCCAGCCATTTTGACTCCCGCTGCCTCAGCACATCAGTTGGGATTTCTTCAGCACTGTGCAGATAGGAGACATTGTGACTGATAAAAGCAAATTATTTTCATACAAATGGACAATGCCTATACAGTGTCACTTCCCTTTATAACAGAGGGAATACTGTCTTTAGAGGAGGTGGGACTGTGGCTCATCTCTTCCTTGTCCACACAGGAAACCTAACCTCAGACGAAACAGTGGAACACTTGCCATCGGCAGCAAGTACAGGGAAAACAGGAAACAGTGGGAGAACTTTCCCCTAGTTCAGCTCCCTACAACCTCCTACATACCGCTTACACCAACATCTCACAACAGCCCAACTGCATGTTCAGAGCTGTCATAATTATTGTTGTACCCACACTTAGGCAGCACTAAACGGTTATACACAAGATAGGGACAAATTCCTTTATGTCTCAACATATCAGTGTGTCTATTCAAGCAACCACAGAATGGTTTTGTGACAGAGAAAGAGAGATACATATAATGTTTGTTGTTCACCTTTACCTGGCCTCTATGGATTTGTATTTGCACCAAAAAAGCTGTCATTATAATAAGAAACTTTCTAAAAATAATAACTTAGTATCTCAACAAAATGTTCAAAATAAAGGGTTTATTTTCTTAAAATGTGGACTTTTAAAAACTTTTTAAAAAATGACTTGCTATCCCAACATAATAATAAACCTCCTTAAGATGATGACTTAGTATCTCTAAATAATACAATATTTCTCCAAAAAGGACTATTATAAAATAATGAAACACATTCTCAAAAAAAGGTATATTTGTCAAAGTAATGACTAAGAAAAAGTAAAACTTTCTCAAATGAATGACTGGTAAATTCTTATTATTTTGAGATATGAAATCATTATTTCGAGAAGGTGTATCATTTGAGTAAGAAATATAGTAAATTACTTCGTTACAGGACCATTTAGTTTCATTACTTCCAAAATGTTCAGTCAAGTAGGAGGAGAAAGCACCTGAATATATGTGTCAGTTTGTGGAGACATACACAAACAGTTCACACAGTTTTAACCACATAAGGAGAAGTTTAGCTCCACTTACGATGAGTGCTGCTGGGCTCCTCCGCTGAACCCGTACTTGTCCACCTCTTTCTCCCCGGGGACATTGCCGTTTACCTCTGGGTCGGATCCATACGAGCTGCCTTTCCCATTATCTGTCAGCTTCTCTGGGCTTCCCCGCAAGTCAACCCCATTGCCCTGCTCTATTTTTGCCATTTATTCAACATTTACCTCCACATGAGCCGCTGGTCTACAGTTTGTTCACATAACTCACCCTAAAAAACAATCTTGAAAGCTTGGCTAGCACTTTAAGGCTCTCCATGAAGATAATCGTTGGTTAGCTTACCTGCTGTCACAGCTAGCTACGGTTGCTAGGAAGATTAGCTTCCTGGCTCTTTCAGCTTGCTAAGGGCTATAAAAAGCCACTTAGCGCTGGAAAGGTAATTTCATGTTAAACAAAACTGTTCGCTTTGTTAACTTTAAGATCAAACAAACAAATAAATGGTTAAACTATAAAAGAGAACCGCAGCTACTTCGATAAACGCTGAATTGGTACAGTATCTTCTTGCCAACTCCGACGCTAACATGCTAGCATCACACAACTGTCAGCTGACACACACCTATTTAAACCAGGATCTCTGCTGTCAGCAGGAATGTAGGTTAGCTGGTGGCTACAGGAAGAGAAACTGGAACAGATTAGTAAACAAAACATCCATGGCTTCCTTTAACTCTACACTGCCATCTACTGCTGATAATCATAATCTCAGGTACAGTCTGGTTATTGCAGGGTTTTATGATAGATTTACTTTGCCTTTATTGGATTTCCCTTTGTTTTGTGATTTCAGGTTTGAGGTACTCAATCACACACAGAAGTATTTCTTATTTAGAAATGGCATATTTTATTAGATATGCCTGCATTTAAAAGTAGCTCTGTTCAAAATACTGTCACTCATGTCGATTTTCTTAACCAGTGAACCCGTATAAATAAGAAGATATGAGGAGCAGGAGTCGGAGAGAGGATTTGCCCCTGTAATGTATAAGTTGTTACTTTCAAGTATAGGCCTGCTTCAAAATACTTAAGCAGGATTTAGACTTTGGCCTCTATTTGTAGGCTCATAAAATAAGATAAGATATTACTGTAATAATCTCAAGGAAAATTCTTGCTTGAAGATGAGAATTTAGTGCTAAAATAACAGAGAAGAAGTATTAATAACACTATTGCCTAAAAGAAAAAGAAGTTATATTGTACCCCTGAAGAATGTAGGCCTATGTTTTATGGGCATGTTTACACTTATTCTATTATTCCTATTTTACTTGAACTATTAACTTACATTAAAGTAAATAGAAAGTACATAAAGAAGATGTAACCAAATGTATTAAAACCTTTAATATTTGCACCAACAGTAGGATGTACCAGAATAGTAGTAATAGAGAACATGGTTATTATTATATGTACTGGATGCACCTCTGTGAGCAATACACCAGTATAAAAGATGAAAGATGAAACAGCATCATGAAAATACTTGAGCAGATTTAGTATAAATACTAGATTCTTTATTTAAATATTGTACATATTTAAAACATATTTACATAAATTAGACCTGCATTGTTACACTTGAGACATAGGAGTAGCTTTCATACACACCAACATTGCTTGCTGAAAAGAGGACAATCATACCATACAGACTGCAGAAGCACCTTTGAGAACAACGTTACAGGAGAGAAAGACGGGGGCAGACTTTCATTTACATCAAACAACGGGCGACATGACCAAGGACAAGACAAGCTTGCAATGACAGGAAAGGCCTCTTTATTACAGGTCTAGCTATTTGTTAAGGCTGAAACTGTGCTCACCCACGTACTGTTAGCTCTCAGCACTATTACCCTTCTCACCACCCCTCCTGCATACGAGTTACATCTTTCTTTAAATATAGGTCTATCTTTGAAATAAATACAGGTTCAGAACCTTGACACATCAATTATAAGCCACCAAGACAACAACGGACAACTGTGTGAATTAACTTTGTTAAATGGTGCCAACAGCTGAGTCAGAAACCATGCAGAAAGAACAATGCAGACAAGCGAACAAATAATATTCCAATAATAATTGTGTCCATTATGTGTATGCGTGAAGAAACACCATGTTATCTTTACAGCAGGGCTTACAGAGCAGTGCCATAATCACGTGTTTGTATATGGCTTTCCTTCTTTGGTTTCATAAACCTGTCTTACACTGTCTAGCAACCGGTCACTTAAATCAAGATTATGATAAAACAACTTTAGGCATAGATCAATCATTTATAATATTCCCATTGAACATTTCCACCCATACCAGCACTCAAGATTCAGAGCACAAGGAATTTACAGTATTGCTGTATGATGTTTGTATCAACAAAAGCGTGCGTGTACTGTATGACATACACAAAGAAAATGTGTCTTTGGTGGCACCCGCTTATAAACTGTAAAGACATTGTCCAAACCACTTGGGCGAGCTGTTAGACAAAAAGGGACAGACTATGAAGAAGATAACAGTGTTATCAATGTATTTGATGCAGCAAACACTTTCACACACACACACTCATTACAATCATGCTGATCATATAAATCGTGTCAAGTCATACAGACATCACAATTACAAAAGAGAAGCAGCAAACAAATGTAAAGGGAAATAAGGAACAAAAAAATGATACAAAACAAATAAACATACACATCCCTACATCAACATGCACACCTGATTCTTGTTAAGATAGCTGAATCAGTCATTCACCACACGTCAGCAGTCACTCCAAACTAACTTTAAAAACTAAATAACGTTAAAAAATACATATTTTCTCTTTAAAACTCATGCCTGAGCTATCATTGCAATTGTGAGCATTCCCAGATGCTAGCTTTGCATTTGCGAGAAAACAAATATTAACATTAAATACACCAGAATAGCCATTAAAGGACTTCTCACATGTATACCGCACTCACACATTGCTAACATCCTTCCTACCACACAACTGCTGCAGCGATCAATCTCAGCAAAGATCCTCTTGTTCATTTCAGTGTGTGGAAGTGTGGGATTTATAAAGCTCACTTCAAGATTAACATCTATACAAGAAAATATATTTATGAACCATTTTTTCATCATCCACAATAGTAACGAAATAGCTCTCTGCTGTAAAGCAAAGACAACAGAAAGGCCAGAACGAACCCCTAAAAACATACAAATATTTACAACTCATAAGGATGTGTGCGCACCGACAGATTCCCCAACGAACGGACAAAAAACTGATCAACTTAAACATGTAAGCTCTAGCAGGTGTTGTGGTTTCCCTTTAAGAGGTTTCTTTGATCCTAGCAGTTACTAGTTTGCTCTTCCATCGTACACATACCCGAACCCATGACCATGAAAACAAAACTCTTAAATCCAATTTTTTAATAATTCCCATCCATTCCAAACATCATCTTCCTCAGTCCATATTTATGCTTTGTTTAAATACATTTACAACAATGAACAGATTATCAACTGGAAAAACAGAGACAGCTAGTCAACTCAACCATTTCTCTCTGAAACCGTGGCTTACTCCTCTTTTAATATGACTTTTTATAAACAAGGGCTACCCGGTTGTTAAGCCCTCAGTCAAACCGAACTGCCCTGGACTGTCTCTCACTCACATCACCTCAGATGTGAGACACAGGAGACTGAAAAGCTTGCCTCAGCCTCTCGTGCTCAACTCCTCCCGCATCATGATCAACATGAAAATGTCCTAGCTGCCTGCTTCGCCCTCAACTGTTCAAGCGCCAAACAAAAACAAGAGGAAGAAAACCAAAAATGTACACGTGGACAGCGGCCCCGCAGCAAGGAGTGTGTGTCGTGATGGTGGGCCTCCCCTGTCAGCCCAGAGGATGCAGTGCATTTTTTTGGGAGGGCTGCAGGTGGAAGACTCAGGCAGAGGGGAGGCAGGATCAGCCCCAGAAAAAGCGCTCACACACTCAGACACACTTTAGTCTGTATATTCAGCCACAACGGAGAGCAGCACCGTGATATCATCTGGCTTTCCTCCTGCAGAAAAAATAAAACAAGGGTGTGAGAAACCATGCCAGTCGCAGAGTACGTTTTTGTAAGGCTATTTAAGATACATTTCCCGTTTTATTTAGCTGTTGTCTGGAAAACTAGAGCCGTAAATGCAGCCTATTAACAACCCTTATATGTTACGTCTAAATATCAAAACAGCCCATTATTTTTAAAACTGAAATATTATTGAGGAAAGCCAAAAAATGTATCCTCTCAAATGATATTTTCCTTTAGTCTTAGTTTACATTTACATTGACTATTGCCTGAATTACATGTACCGTACACAGAATGTGAAGCACAGTGTAACTTACCTCTCACATTCAGGCCATTGTCACATGCAAACTGTGCAAAAGGGGACATATAGTTGGGGTCGTAGGCAAGGTTGTGAGCTTGCTTTGCAATGCTCTGTGCAGTCTGCAGGACGCTGTCATAGTTGGTAGCCTGAAAGGATCAGAAGTAAAAAATGATTACAATGTAAAAGGTTTAAAATATGCCTGCACTTATGTTCACTTACAACTACAACCGATGTGTGAAAGCTTGAATAAACTGATAATCCAAAGGTCTTACCTTGAGTTTTTTGAGCTCCTGAAGAATCATGTAGTCTGGCATGTTGTCAAATAGACCGTCGGTCGCCGTCAGGATGATGTCACCGAGCTGCACGTCAAAGGAGGAGCTGTCAGCTGCTTCAGGACTAGAGAAAACAATTTGGGCATGGAAAGATCAGTCACAAGTGTAACAGGAGCATGTGGCGCTGAGCCGCTGTCAACAGTTTCCAAAATGGCAGTAAGTAGGTCAGAAGTCACTCTGCGAAATCTTGGCGGTGGACGCGGCGTGGGCATTTAATCGGACTGATTTAATCAAGTTGTGACACCTATCTGGTAAACCTGGCTGGCCAAAATGTGTGCATGTCTGTGCATGTGCCTTGTGCTTAAGGCGTCAAATAATTGACCTCTTTGTGCACTTACATTTTGTGTATCTGTTCACCATCACATGACCTAAACTGCTTGGTGTACTATTTTAATAAGTTGTGGGAATAATACAGATGATGTTGGTTGACCTTTAAAGTCACTGAAATGTAAACCAAAACAACAAACTATGAACAGGACACGAGACAATTTTCCATGCAGGGGATATAAGAAAAAATACCAAGTAGTTACAATGCATAGCCTGGCTGCCAAAGCAGGTCATGTTTATGCTGCAAACACCCTCTGAAAGTTCCTACAGCAGCTGTGTTTGTTGCCTGTGGAGGCTGCATGTTTTCAAAAATGTACTTATTTTACCTACCCAAATAATTCAATGTTTGTCATATCCAATTTTCTTATTAGTCAAACAAATATGAGAAATAATGTTTTTCAATAAATGATTTGCTTTGGCACATGCAGAGGTTCAAAGTTGAACAAGGAAGTAGCTCAGTAAAACAAATTAAATTGAATAAAGTTATGTGTTGTAAAGCTTCTGTTTTTACGATTCTATTCTTTAAATTTCATTCACACATGCATTTCAATGATGTCTCAAACACAGATGTACTGACCTGTCACTGAGCACCACACCTTCTGCCCCAGGAGGAGCAATGGACAGCTGGAAGGGTGTGTTAAAATAATGCTGTTGTTCATCTGAGCGATG